TCTTCTCTAAGAATGATAAGTATTCAAAGGAATCAAAGCATATAGACTTAAAATACTTATCAGTGAAAGAAGAAGTGCATAAATAGAAAGTGTCTATTGAGCATATTGGTACTGATTTAATGATACCGGATCCGCTAACTAAGGGATTGCTTCCTAAAATAGTTTTTGGCCATGTTGGTAGAATGGGCATTATAGACAAGTCGTTGTTAGCATGATTGTGTGATTCACATATATGTGTATAGATTGTTTTGCTCATACTATTGTAGACATTTTGGGAATTCAATAAAAGTATTGTTTCTGCTTGTTTACTTGTTATCTGAATTGTGTTAATGTACATGTATGGTTTGAGTTTGATAACAGGTTGAGTGTTTAAAACACATCAGAGTTACAGTCTGTAGTATGACTGATTAAAGCTATTTTGATTTAGGTTGGTTCTGTGATACTTGGAAGGAATCATGTCGTCAAATGATTTGTGACCACCATGATTCGATCAACTTAAATCATTAAAAGATGATGACTTGATATTATCAATGATATGCGCACTTACAGTTCATTGAATCTTCAAGTCGTCACATAGGCCAAGTGGGAGATTGTTAGATTATTTTAATAATCTTATTATAGTGGCCTATGTAACTTATAGCGTGACTCTAATTAATGATTTAATGTGATGGTGGTTAAATATAAAATATAGAGTCATTGAGGGTATAATTGTAAATACAATTATAAGGAAACCCTCCTTTCTCCCTTCATATAAATTAAAGACCGGTTACCAAATAGGGGTTATGGCATTCTCTATTTTTCACTTTCACGGTCTCAGAGTGAACTCACGGTAAACGCAAGAAAAGAGCTTTCTCTCAACCATCCGAGAGGAGTTGAAAGAGGAAGGAAGAGTTGGAAAAAATACCAAAGGATTAACGACATCAAAGAGAGAGGTAACATCAAGGAACAATGGATTCAGGTTAGTACTCTCTAAACCCTTAATTGTATGAGAACCATATATTGTGTTGTGAAAGCAACGTAATTCAAGATCATGAAGGGAAAAGGTAATTTCATAATAGTCATTGCATAATGGAAATTACATAATGAATTAAAGAAAATTCTAACATCTAATTTCAGATTTTCTCCCTCACACTAACACTATTTTTGGCTGAGTTTGGTTGGGTTTGGTTGGCATTTGGTTAGGCACCTTGGTTAAGGATTGAACCATTGACCCTATGTCATCATCAAGGAATTTTAGTAACCAAGTCTTCTTTCTCATTGGCTTCCCTCACTTCAGCTGATACTTTGCTCAATTATTGACAAATTTAGTCTATTTTTCATGCCAAAACCGTGCCAATTGGGTTGGGTAAGATAGGATTACAAAATTGGAAGTTTTGGTCCATTTGCCTAGCCCTTTTCACACCACTTTGAGTGCTGAATTTGCAAAATTTGATTTGAATTTTCTATTTGAGGTTTTGATCTAGTTCTTGAACAATTACAACCTCATTTGGCCTAATAATTTGGCATAAAAATTTTAGAATTTTTCATTATCATTTTCTTATCCAACTTGGGTCCTCATTCTAGGCCTATTCTAACAGTATTTTGGTCTTTTTGGCCAATGTTGTAACATTTTTAATTTTCTATTTTTATTCTCCCTAATTGATTATAAATTTTGTAATACATAACTTAGATGGTATAAAATTATAAAAACAAAATTTTTAAGTAATTATTCTTATTAAAATTGGATTACACTATAATTCGTTACCGAGTTTTTCCTTAATTCGTCTGTTTTTCGGGTAAATTTGACTAAGTGTGTTTTAATTCCTAACTATATATATATATATATATATGATCTAATTCTAATTTATTTATATTGATACAATTAGTAATTAACTTAGAGGTAAGGAAATTTTGGGGTGTGACAGCTCTCCCTTACTAAAAAACAAAATTCGTCCTCGAAATTTGGTACTAACCATTCATTGTACAAAAAGATGAGGATATTTCCTTCATTTCTTCCTCGAGTTCCCATGTTGCATCTCCTGGTTCACCTTCTTTCCAGCATACCTTGACAAGGGAAATCGACTTTCCATGTAATTGCTTTATTTTCTGATCTTCAATTCTTACAGGCTGCACATCATATGTCAAATTTTCTCATATTTGTACTGTGTCTGATTCTATTATGTGCGATGGGTCAGGCATATACTTCTTAAATTATGACACATGGAATACATCATGAAGATTTGAAGGAAAAGGTGATAAAGCAATTTGATAGGCAACACTACCTATTCTATGAAGAATTTGGTAGGGTCATATAAATCTAGGAGTGAGTTTCTTTGATTTCATTGCTCTTCCAATTCCAGTCATAGGCGTGACTTTCAGAAAAACATGATCTCCTTCCTTAAATTCAAGAAATCTTCTTCTTTTATCGGCATAGCTTTTTTGCCTACTCTTGGTTGCTCTCATTCTGTCTTGTATTATTTATAAAATATTATTTTTTATTATCATATTAAATAAATTTGAATAAATTTCACTTGATTTTTATTAAGTACAAATTTATTTTTTTATTTTTTAGTAAAGAACTAAAAATTTAGTTTTAATTGAAAAATGGATTATTTGCAAAATAGTATTCTCTTTTTTTATTTTCATATTAAATAAATTTAAATAAAATTTAACCTGATTTTTTTAGTAAAAAAAAATCATTTTTTTTATTTTTGAATAAAGAGTTTAAAAAAAATTTAATTTGAATTAGAAAATGGATTATTTATAAAAATATATTGTTTATTTTTTATTTTTGTATTAAATAAATTCAAGTAAAATCTAACTTGATTTTTTATTTTTATTTTTAATAAATTTATTTTTTATATTTTTTTTATTTTTAAATAAAGAACTAAAAAATTGAATTTTGACTTGGGAAAATGGAATATTTATAAAATATTATTCTCTCTTTTTTTAAATTTTTGTATTAAATAAATTTAAATAAAATTTAACTTGATTTTAATTTTTTTTAATATTTTTTTACTTTTAAATAAGGAAACATAATTAAAAAAAAAATTGTTTTAACTTGAGAGAAAGGATTAATCATAGAATATTATTGCCCCCTCTCTCTTTTTTCTTTTTTTCTTTTTTACATTTTGGCATTAATAAAAATAATGTAAAAACTTTTTTTTTGACATTTTTATTTACTTATCCTTTTTTTTAAAATAAAAATAACAATTTCGTTCTTTTTAGAATATTTTGGATTACTCATACTTTAAAATTTTTCTTAAAATAATTTAAACCTGAGAATATCTCGCTATAGCGAGAGTGTCGCGACTAGAAAGGATTTAAAGGGGGTTAGGGTTCAGGGAGGGTTGTTTCTCCTTCTCCCTTCGAAGTCCCTTGGATCCTCTCATTCTCAAACCTTATTCTACCGATTACATTGCCTCCAAGTTGTTCGAGAGTTTGATTGAAAGTTAAATTCATGTGGGGAACGCTTGGAGGTGAGTTTTAATGGTTAGGGTTTCGGTTTTTCATCCCCTTTCTCTGTTTTCGTGGTTTTCCTGGGTTCTCATGGAGTTTCTCCATGTGTTTAGGACGAAATTCGTGAGGGGAGAGCACTTCTTGGTGGATTTAGCGTGTGGGACATCGATCCGAGGTAAGGGGGACTCTACCCTACTCTTTTTATGTGTAATTGATTGAATATAGAGTTGTGGCTGAGTTAGAAGGTAGAAAACGTGCAGAGAATGAGTTGATTGAGAAATGTAAAGTGGGCCATGTGCATTGATATATGAACATTGTGTGTGTTACTCGAAATAGATGAATGTGAATTATATGCTAGATGTTGCATGATAGAATGAAGATTGTGAATAAATGTGGGCCCAAGGGCCATGTAATATAACTGAATATTGGCTACGTGCCATATGCTGTGAAATGGAATGTGGGTTGTGTGCCATGTATAAGCATGATTACTACGTGCATGAATGGAATATGTGTAAATGGGTATGTTAGCGCCGTTGTGAATGGTTCAGCGATACGCTGGGAGTGTGGAAGATGAGGACGGTAGAAATACCTTGGGGAAGAGGGAGTGGTGGTGACACTGACTGTGGAACGGGTGCACCAAGGGCCACACACTCTCTTCCTGACTAGACCTCTGACCATTACCTTTGCTGAGCGACCCGTGACTGCCCACTTGGTATCTGTGAGGCGGGGGTAACCGGTGACCATTCATAGTGGAAATCTGTTATCACAGTGCCATAGTAAGTGTGGCTGGTGTGCGTATACACGAGTTTGTGTATGGCACCTTTGGATGTGATAATGTTGCCTATAATTGTATTTGTTTAATATATTGGAAATGTGCTAGAGGTGAGACTTTATGCTGACTGTGTGTTTTTCAGTAGTGTAGAGTACTCACCCTTACATTTATTTTTCAGGTAATCAAGACGATCAGCATTGGACTCAGTGAAGGGGTGGATGGAACTGCTATAGGACTTAGGATATTATTTTAAAAATTATTGTATTAGAATAAGTCTTGTAGCAATTGTTTGATGTAATTTGTAACCTCTTTCTTTATTGGAAATGTTTAATGAAACTTGGATTGAAAATGGAAATTTAGTATTTCAAAAATTTGTGAAATTCCTTATTTATTGAAGTTAAAATTAAGGTGTTACAATTTTGATATCAGAGCAGTTCATCCAAACTGGACTGGGGTATCGGGCTGAAGCGTCCAAGATAAGTGTTGGTTGTTTTGTTTGCCTAAATTATAATGTATAAATTGATCTAATGTGCTAGAATGTGATTGCTGACTTGTTGTAGCTAGATTGAATATGTCTGGTAGAGGTAGAGGTAGAGGAGCTAGAGGCACCAATGACCTCATGGAACACATGGCTCAGATTCTGGAAGCCATGGTGCATAATCAAGGCGGAGAGCCGGCTGAGTATCGAGGGTTGTCTACCTTCACCAGGCATGATCCTCTAAGGTTTGAGGGTGGATTCAATCCCGAAGGAGCCTAAAGGTGGGTGGCTGATGTGAAGATCTTCAATGCTATGGGGTGCCATGAGAAGAACAAGGTTGCCTATGCCGCTTACTTGCTGTGTGGGGAAGCTAAGGACTGGTGGAGGTTTGTCGGTCAGACCCTGCCACAAGAAGATGGCTATATCCAATGGGAAATGTTCAAGACCATCTTCCTGGGGAACTACTTTTCTTGGGACCTAAGGAAGCAGAAAGCTAGGGAGTTCCTTGAACTGAAGCAAGGAAGTATGACTGTGGGAGAATATGCAGGTAAGTTTCAGGAGCTAATGAAGTACTAGCCTCATTATCAGCATGGTGATGGAGAAGAGGATCTGTGTGCTCAGTTTGAGCATAGATTAAGGTCGAACATCCGAGCTGCGGTCAGTGTGTTTATTGAAATTAAAATTAAGGTGTTACAAAGTAGATCTGAACTCTATGTTCCTTAATTGATTGATGATCAATTTCACTTATTTAATCAAAGGACAATCCCTTGCCTTAATGATCTTAATATTCAATTAACTACCCTAATTCATTAGGTGTAAATCAATCAAACATTGCATTAGGTATTAGAAATTAAGAGATCACAAGATCACGAATTCTTATCCCTAATATATCCATAACCTTGACATTCAATTTAGATATGAGAAATTCGCTCAAATTCCATTGATGAAAATCCTCTAGGTTCAATTCAATTGAACAGCTAATTCAAGAATTGCATTAAGGAAAGAATTAAATGTTCAATACAATCAAGATCTTCAAATCCAAATCCATAATCAATTTACAACATCAAAATCAGATCCATCAATCCTTAACAAAAAGAAATCAGAACATGTTCCTAAAAGAAAAAGAGAGAGAAAGAGTAAAAGAAGAGCAGCTGCAGAATTTCTTCATAAATTCAATCCCCAGCCTGATTTCTCAAGGTCTAAAGCTTGGAAGTCACCCCCCCCAATCTCCCTTTCTAACTCTCCTATGGTGTGGAAATGAAAAAAAATGAGAAAAGATCCTCAATCTCTGAGCTAATTTCATATTTATGAAATTTTCTGCCTTTCTGGCGTGGTTACTTTGATAACATAAAGTAACCACGCAGAACGCTTTCTGGTAATCTTCATAGCTGGAACAACCACTTTTAGAGATAATAGTAGCAACGCAAAGATAAATTGCCTTAAATATCATGTGCATGTTCACTTTTATTCACAATAGGAGTCACGTGCAACTTGTTTTTCTGGAATGCTCTCTGGAATGATCACTTTAATTGATAAAAGTAACAACGCACAGCTTGTTTTGCTGAAATGCTCTCTAGAATGATCACTTTTATTGACAAAAGTAATAATGTACAACTTGTTTTGCCCTTCGATCATGCACATGATCACTTTTCTCAGTGATCACGCAATAGTGATCACATGCAGCTTATTCCTTCTATCCAAACTTGCGCGTGTTCACTTTACTTAAAAATAGTGATCATGCGCAGCTGATTCCGCTTACTCCAGTTCTGGAACAATTACTATTATTTGTAATAGTGATAACGCAGAGCCTTTCTTCATAGGCGTGGTTACTATTGTTAAAAAAAGTGATAATTCTTTACTCTTTGTAAGCTCAAATCTTCCACTTTCTTCTATTTTCTCTTCTTCAATCTTTATCCTCAAGAATCTTAGCTTAGAATCTCCTACAAAACTAACAAAATTACATCAAAATTCTATTAAATTCACATAATTTGAATTACTAAAGACAACAATTTACTTTATTGAATATTTATATATTTTTGTGCAGTTTTCATTTTTTAAATTATATTTTCTATAAAAAAAAAACCTAGAAAAGTACTTAAAAACCTAGTAAAATCTGTATTTATCAACTAGACTATTAATAAGTTGCTTGGAGTAGACCAGACTACATTATCTCCACCATGTGAATTTAGAAGGCCGATGAACCACTATATGGATTAAGAAGCCACTCTCACTATATTATGTAAGCTAAGAATAAAGTGGGTGAAGGATTAGTAGATGAGGTGTAAGTTGTAACACCTTAAATTTAATTTCAAATAATAAATTTCACAAAATGGGAATAATAAAATTTTCATTTTAAATAGACTTTCCCAACGCATAGTTTTGACAAAGTATTTCAAAATAATAAGGGTTTACAAATTTTAATCAAGTAACTACTACAGAAATAATCCAAATACATCACATCATATTTTCAAAATAAAATATAAGCCCTATAGCAGTATCATCTATTCCTTCACTGAGTCTGGTGCTGATCGTCTTGGTCACCTAAAAAATAAATTTAAGGGTGAGTACTCTACACTATCCAACACACACAGACATAAAGACTCACCCCATGCACTTCACATCATTTCTAACACATTCTACATAAGTATAATCAATCACAAAAAACACATTCCATGCATTCCATTTCAGTTCACAACCAATACACTTACTGCACCAACAACATTTTACACACACAAGTGCGCTCATTGCACGTAGCTACACATACTGTGGCACTGTAATCGCAGTTTCATACCATGGATGGTCGTCAGTTACCCCCACCTCATGGATGCAACGTGTGTGGTCACGAGTCGCTCGACAAAGGTATTGGTCAGAAGTCTAGTCAGGAGAAGAGTGTGCGGCCGGTGGTGCACTCGCGCTCACTGTTGTTGTCACCACCACCCTTTCTTCCTCAAGATATTATCGTCCTCATCTTCCACACCTCCAGTGTATCGCTGAACCATTCATAGCATACTCTCAACCGCATTTAACATGCCCTTTCACACACATTTCAACCACATACGGTATTCGTATTCACACACGGCACACAGACCCACATTATTTCACAGCACACGACACATATGCCCATATTCCATCACACAAGGTTCAATCATACAGTTTTTATCATAATATTCCTACAACCATTCATTTCATTATACTCAATATTTCTCAATATCGATTGTAATAAGTTCCACACTATCTTTCTACCACAATTTCACTACAATCAATCAATTCTACCAAACACACACATTCCAAACCATCCACATTACAATGCATAGCAAATTACATGGCATTCAAACATAATGAGATAGGGTAGAGTCCCCCCTTACCCCGGATTGAAGATCCACACACGAATCAACCAAGGAAGTGCTCCTCACACTAATTTCATCCTAAATACACGGAAGAATCCCATGAGAACCAAGGGAAACTGAGGAAATAGAGAATGGGGATGAGAAACCAAAACTCTAACCATTAAAACTTACCTTCAAGCATTCCCAACACAATTTTAACCTTCGATCTAACTCCCGAACGACTTTGAAGGCAATTTAATTGGTGAAATAAGGTTTTGGATCGAGAGAATTGAAAAGATTTTGAAGAGAGAAATGGAATATGAATTTCCCAAACCCTAACCCCTTCAAATACCCTTCTGGTCGTGACATTCTCGCTACAGCAAAATACTTGGGGCGTCACTGCAGCAAAAATCTCAGAGGAAACTGCATTCTGGTTTCTGCAGAATCTCGCTATAGTGAGACTGCATCCAGAAATGCACCCATCACTGGCGCTCTTTCGCTGCAGCGAGAAGGCGATAGTTTCACGCCTTCCTCCTAAGGCCCTCTCACTACAGCAAGAACACCCTGCACCATACACTTAGCCTATTTCAAACAGTCCAGAAAAATCAATCTCGATGCACAATCAGTATCCACATCACATTCCACATATTAGGATAGTAGAAATTAGTTGTATATCTTGCAATCCCTGTGGATATGATAACCCCTAGCATTTACTAAAACAAAAACTTGGTACAATTGTCAAAATCTCAACATGAAACCCATAACCCAACTAAGATCTTTAATACCTACTCCAAGGAGACCCATAAAGCAAATCCAAGTTAATGTGAAGAAGCTTCAAGGAGTAACAAGGTCCTTGTAAGGAGGATGACCAACATTGAAATGTTTGTCAGAATAATTGCATAACAACGTAGCATAGATACTTATGTGGTGGAAGGACCCATGATTGATGAAGACTTAATATACCTCATCAACTTTAATCAAGATAATGAAAAACTTGTGGCTATGGTTAAGAGGGAAACTAAAGAGGATGTTGAGGCTAAAAAAGATGCATAAGTTGCTTAGAAAGAAGCTTAGAAGGAAGATGAGGAAGAGAAGGCTAAAGTAAAAAAAAAAAAAAAGTATTAGAGGAAGAACTAGTAACGGGTTGTTTAGGAAAGGAGGTTTTAGAGGGGAAGGGAGGGGAAGGGAAAGGAACACTAAATTTATATTTTAAATAAATATATTTAAAATTAATATTTTTAAAAACAAAAAATATAAATTAATATATTAACAAAAACTTAATGTATTAATAATGTATTTGTCATCATAAATAATATATAGTTCTTTTAATTTAAAATTAAAAAATATGTCCTCCTCTCTCTTCCCCTCCAAAAACTCCTTTTCAAACATACCATAAAGGAAGATCAACAAGAAACAATTATTTATCTTGTGAGAATTTAAACTTTCAAAATAATTGTTATTGTGGAAATAATTATCTTTTACTTACATGTATTATAACTTGCATTGTTTCTTGTTGAAAGTGCTATATCATATGTAACTAGAAAGCCATTAATTTTTCAAACTAATAAAAGTCAATAAGGCAATCTATGAACTATTGCTTTGTTTAGCCAATTTTGGACTTAATATAAATCATTATTTTTAGAACCTAGTATCATGTACCAAAAGTGAAGAACTGCCACAACTCCTTTTTGTAAGGAACCGAGAATATTATTTCTACACCACTTACTTATTTGAGATAAATAAATAACGAAGAATATAAGTATAAAATTTACTTTTCAATTCAAAATAAACAGAATTTCTTATGACAAATATTCAACAGAACAACATAATATTACATTTAGTTTATAATACTAAAAAATTTACAAAGTTTTTACTACATCAGGTCTCAAAATATAAGGAAAAGGAACTTTAATGCAAAATTACTCGATAGCTTCTAACATTTTTCCATTGGCCCCTCATCCTATAAAGTAGATGCAACACTTGCTACATCTGCTCACATACTACCTTACGATCATGGTAGTACACAAGCACACAACAGCATAGACCGAAATGCAAGGGTGAGCTTACAAAAATAAAATAAAATCATATATATATATATATAGAGAGAGAGAGAGAGAGAGAAATATTACTCACAGCAACAGCCTCATGCATTTTCAGCCCATCTAATGCACAAAATGGAAATAGTTTTGAAATGGTTTCACAACCTAAGTAATCTAGAAGGAACCAAACCGGTCCGAGAGCAACCCATTTCGATATCTGGACCCAGACAGCACAACACAACACAGCTCAGCATGCACCTAAACGTGTAACTCGACCCTATAATGATGCAAGACATATATCTCAGCATGATGCAACATGGCTAAAATCATTTCAACAGCTCAACTAAGACAAGTTTATAATAAATCAGTCAAATCTCAGTGTTATTAAATCAGTTATCAGCAGTTACAGTATAGAAAAATAACTTTCAAGTATTAAATCCTTTATATCTCAGCTTTTATCAAAGAGATCTAACAAAATCAACTCAAACCTTTCTTTAATAGCATATCAAAACATTCAAAACATAGATTATAGGCTAAAGTAAGCTCTCCTTACCTTAGAACGGTGATTCACACCAGATCTACTAAATATTACTTGGTTCAACGCAAGATTCACCAAAGATTTGGCTTTAGAATAGAGTCTCTCCTGAAAACACCATGAACTTCTATGAGAAAGAGAAGGAGAAGAGAAAAGAACAGTGAAACTAATTTCAAACTTAGAGAAACTTACTTTAAATCCCTTAGAACCGACGTAGAATGACAGATCTAGTGAGAAATCTAAACTTAGGAAGGTTTAGTATGAGAAAAATGGTGATATATGGCCTTGGAACCTTTGAGAAGTATAAAGAAGTGAAAATTTCATGCAAGGACCCTATTTAATCTCTTCTCGAAATCTATTAGTCACCACAATTTTACCACAACTAATCTTCTCAGGGCAATAAGTCCATGTACAAATTTAAGTCTTGAAATTGCTCTACTAAAAGAGACTCGCTAACTCTCAGGGAGAGAGCTTGAATTACACTCCTACTCAAAGCATCTGCTACTACATTAGCTTTGCCTGGATGGTATTGAAGCTGAAACTCATAATCTTTAAGAAATTTCATCCAATGCCTTTGCCTCATATTCAGTTCTCGCTAATCAAACAAATACTTAAGGCTTTTATGATCTCTATACACATTAAACTGCACCCCATATAAGTAGTGCATATAGATCTTTAAGGTAAAAACCACTGCAGCTAATTCAAGGTCATGCGTGGGATAATTCTGCTCATGGGTTCTTAACTGGCATGACACATATGCCACCACTCTCTTGTCTTGCATCAATACACATCCTAGACCTTGATGCAATGCATCATAATACACCTCGAAAGGTCGACCAATATCAGGAAGAATCAATACCGGAGAGGATGTCAACCTCTGCTTCAGCTCATTAAAGCTTCGTTCACAGTCTTTCATCCAAATGAAGGGTTGATCTCAACGAGTGAGTTGAGTTAAAGGTGAGGCAATCTTTGCAAATCCCTCTATGAACCTCCGATAATAACCTGCTAAGCCCACAAAGCTACGAATCTCTGTGGCTATTTTCGACCTTTCTCGTTTCAACATTGACTCCACTTTTGAAGTGTCAACTATAATTCCTTCAGCTAAGATCACATGACCAAGGAATTTCACTTCCTCGAGCTGGAATTCACACTTGGACAATTTGGCATACAATTGCTTCTCTCTCACAATCCTCAAATGTTCAACATGCTCCTCCTTTGAACTAGAATAGATAAGGATGTCATCGATAAATACTACCACAAATCAATCTAGAAAAGGTCTAAAGATTCGATTTATGTGGTCCATAAATATAGCCGGAGCATTAGTAACTCCAAAGGGCATTACCACTTATTCATAATGCTCATACCGAGTACAAAAAGCTATCTTTGGAATCTCCTCATCCTTAACTCAGATTTGATGATATCCAGATTTTAGATCAATCTTAGAGAATACCTTAGTACCTTTCAATTGATCCATCAGATCATTAATCCACGGCAATGGATATTTATTCTTAATGGTCAATTTATTTAATCAACGGTAATCAACACAAGTCTAGAACTCCCGTCTTTCTTCTTTACTAAAAGATCTGGTGCTTTCCAAGGTGACACACTTGGCCTAATCATCTTTTTTTGCATCAGGTCTTCAATATGATTTTTCAACTCCATCAATTCCTTTGGCACCATCCGATAAGGTGCTACCGATGCTGGTTTAGCTCCGGGGACTAAGTCTATACCAAACTCTATTTCTCTGGCTGGAGGTATTCCAGAAACATCATCTAGAAATTTTTCGGGAAAATCCAGCACAATTGGTATTAACTGAAGTTCTTGTTCCTGCTCTACATTCATAACCGCTAGGAGAATAAAGCATGAAGCTCCTTCACCAATAGAGGTTTCTACTTGGTGTGTGGAAATTGTTTCTGCAAATTTTTGTTATTCAAAAAAAATTAAACATCTCTCTGCGCACAATCAACTAAGACATGATTGTCAGTCAATCAATCCATGCCTAAGATTACATCCGAACCCGTCATGGGAATACTTATGAGATTTACTCTATAACACATTCCCTCAATCATTATGGGACACCCGACACAAGCTATCGAAGTTATCACTGAACTCTGAGTGAGTGTTGATACCATCAAGTCACACCTCAAATCACTCACAGGTAATCCTACTTTCTTCACACATGCATCTGCAATGAAGAAGTGCGTGGCTCCGGAATCAAAAAGTACAAAAAGAAAGGTACCTACCACTTCTCCCATTCCTTGAACAAGGTTCTTGGCCTGAGCTGCCTCCATCCCAGAGGTGGTAAAAACTTGTGCCTCAACTTGGGGTCTTATCATCTGCGGAGTCCTAGCCATTCTAGGGCGCACTGCATGTAGGGCACTGGCCGAGGATGACGCTGCTCTGCTTCGAGTAATAGGACAATCCTTAACAATATGTCCCTATTGTTGGCATGCATAGCAGACTCTACTGTCAATCTGAGGACATTGGCTCAGAAAATGTGGACCTCTACACCTAAAGCATTTCACTGTCGAGGGTGCTGGAGATCTAAAAACTGGTGCACTCACCCCTCTCGGCTGAAGGGTGGAGGTGACGGTTCCCAATGGCCGAAGAGTTGACGACGTCGTTCCCCCAGAGTGAGAAGGCCAAGGCTACTGTTGACAATACGGTCTATTGTAAGGGCCTCTCCTGACACCTTTATTTTCCCTGAAACTAATGCTCTGTTTATTAGATTAAGCCTGTCTATAATGGTGGCCTGATCCACCAAGTCAACAAATTCGGTGATTCTAAGTAGAATCAAAATCCTCAGAATATTCGTTCTCAATCCTTCAGAGAATCTCTGGCATCTCCATTCCTCAGAGGTCGGGTGAGAATAGAATCAATAAAGTCTTTCAAATTGAATTGCATACTCATACACAGATGAGTTCCCTTGCACCAAACTTAGGAACTTTCTCTCTTTTGTAGAACGGAACATGGGGTGGGAAGAACTTTCCTAGAAAACTATTCTTGAATACTTCCCATATAATGGCCTCCCCTCGAGCCTCTAGTATAGCACGAGCCCCTTGCCACCACATTTCTGCATCCCCTACCAACATATACGCTGCATATACAACTTTCTTCTCCTCAGCACAACCCATGATGAGAAAAATCTTTTCAATCTCTCGAATCCAGAGTTCAGCTGCATCTGGTCCGTCAACTCCAGTAAATTGAGGAAGGTCACTCTTTCTAAACTCAGATAGCCCCTGATACTTAGCAGGTAGGGCTGCTGCTTGAGCTGTAACGACTGCTTGATTTGTAGCTTGCTGCTACTGAACAACATCTAAGCTTTGTCTTATGGCTGCCTCTATAGCGTGAGCCATCTGGTTCACATCAAATGGAGGGGGATTTGGTGCAGGTCTTCTCGGCAGTCTTTCCATCTTAACACAAACAAAACTATCTTAGAGCACTAACAATTAGCTCTATCTTAAAACCAATCACAACAT